ACTACTTGCTAATGCCCTGCATTCGTTTTACAGACATGTTTTTGGGCATAAATGCTGTTTTCAAAAATTTAAATTCATAGTTGACATCTGTGACTTACGAGAATTTCCATGAACTTCTTGGAGCTTTTAAATATTGCACTATTTGATAATTCTGCTGACTTTCCAGGATGGAAGAAGTAGTTTGGAGTGAATTATTTCTTGGATAGGGGATGCTTTTCTGTTTTGCCAAAAGGCCCACTCCAAATTCTTGGTTCCTGAAAGCATCTGAAATTGGAACTTCAGGAATAACTCCACTTACGGCAGCTTAATTATGAAGTCATTGAAGGAACTTGTTCTTAAGGTGCTGTTACCTGTGGTACATGAATTTGCAAATTGTAATAAAGGTTTCTGAGGAGTTTAGGGGAAAGTTTTCTGTAGCATGCTTTTAAAAGGTATGTAAATATTATGTACTACACACAGGTACTAATTTTAAAAAGGTATATGATGTGGTTTGGAGTTTCTTCCCAAGAGAATTTAAACTTCCTTTGGGGCTGCTTGACCAGATTTACAGTGCTTTAGGGTGTGGATCCTGACATTTCCGGGGATTGGACCAGTCAGTTTGTATGCAGCTCTTCTCTAAAGTTTAGTAGCAGTATCTTAGACTAGTGGATTTCAGTATATATTTTTTGGACCAGCAGCATTAGTTTACTGGGAAACTTGATAGAAATGTACGTTCTTAGGCTATGTCCCATTCAATCACTCTGGGGCTGAGGCCCCGCAATCTGTATTTTAATCAGCTTTGTAGGTAACATCAAATCAATCTTTTAAAAGGATGAAATAGAATGTTATAATAAAACATAATGTAGTTTATATTTTGGTATAGTTCACTTTATTTCTGAAAAAAATTTAGTAATATTGACCAAGTCAGTGTGAGAGCTACCAAATTCTGAACCATGAAAAGGCCTCGTAATGGAGAGTTACACAAGTTATCAAGCTCAGTGGGACAGTTGTGGGTTTCTCTTGCCTCGCACACTTGCTTTGTAAATGTTCACAGCGGCCCCCCTCTGGCTCCTGGTTTATGTTCTCCTGGTAAAACACAGTATGCTCATTATGTTTCAGCCTTGCCCAGGACTCCTGCTTTGGGAGACATTCTATGTCCGCTTCAACTGGACCCCCCCGCGCTGGTCTTATTGCTCTGGAAAATGATGGATATAGCAAGTGACCCATGTTAGCCATCGTTGTTGTTGCTGTTATTTTAGAGAGCTGGTTGTGTCCACTTAGCTTAAGAAAGTTCAGAAGACTACACACTCCAGTTTTAAGTCAGAACTCTAAAACAGGAAGATTTCGGTTTAGGACAGAATTCTAAAATATGGTGGCTGCGGATTATAATTTGTAATGGTTATGAGGCAACCTCATTACAGAGCAAGCAAGTGGGCCTTAGTGTTCCTTCTGTAACACCTTCTCCTTTGTAGTGTTAGTCTGAATTGATTTGATCTGATCAGTTTGCTATAGTACCCAGTTTTTTTGGTGATCTTGGAACTTCTTATGTAAAGCAAAAATAATCTGTAATAGAAGGTCTAGCTCACTGGAGGCCGGAGTTTATGGCATGACTTTGAAAGTATTCTTTTTTTCTTTTTTGTACCAGGGATCATACTCAGTACCTTGCACTTGCAAGGCAGGTAGGTGTGGGTACCACTGAGCTAAATCCCTGGCCCACAAGTATTCTGGAAGGGCTTATTGGCCTGCTTACTGTGGAGGAGACAGACCACAGTGAGGGGAAGCTGTCCAGAGGGAGGCGTATGTTTTCCTGGGATTAGGGCAGATTCTGAGAAAACATCTGTGGGGTCCATCCATCCAGTCAGATGCAGTTATCTCCAAACAATACCTTTCCTTCCCTGCATGGTGAAGTTCTTGAAAGATCTTGAAGGATGAGGTTCATGTCCTCTAAAAGGTATATCAGTTATCAATGTTCCCACTGGGTGGTATGGTTTCTTCTAGGGAGCTTTGATTATGTAATAAAGTAGGATTTGTTTTTAAAGGGAGAGGCATGTTTAATATTTGAAGGAAAAAAACACTGAAGAATTTTTGTAGCTGGGGATGGTAGCAAGTGCCTCTACTCTCAGCAGTCTGGGAAGAAGAGGCAGGAAAATCACAAGTTTGAGCTCAGTCTCGGCATACTGACAACTTAGTGAGGCTTTCTGTCAAAATTTTAAAGAGAGAACTGGGCTGTGCATCTTAGTTTGAAGGCCCTGAGTTCAATGCCTATCAAAAAGGGGGTTTGTGTATTAATCTGGTGATTTAAAACATCAGCTAAATAATTGCCAAAATGTTTTGTTATCGGTAAAAATTTTTACTGCAGTACCAGAGTACTTCTTCTGTGGTACAGTATCAGTGATATAAAGCTAAGGGGCAGGGTGACCCATAGAAGTCTGGCTGTGCAAGGAGGGAAATTAGGACAAGGCCACAGTACATAGGGTTTTTCTCTGTTATCATTCAATTTGAATTGGTTTTGAGTCCTTGAATGAGAGCTCAGCTCTCCATGACCTGAACTAGGAGATACTGGTCAAACTTCACTAAGCAGAGCATTTCTTGGCTGAAATGCTTTTAAAATTAAATGAAAAATTTAATTCCAGAAACATCTGCATAAGGCACATGCTGGGAACATCATTTTTTCCCTATATGCTGTACTAGGCAGTGAGCTAAAAAACAAAACAACCCAGTTGCTTCCTGTAGGCAATGTTGTAAAACAATTAAATTTTCTAGATAGATTTTATAGAGACCATTCTTCATCATTTTTTGAAATCTTACAAGTTTGAGAAATGCTTCTAAGGTCTTAAAATTTATACTCTTCTCACTTAGAAAACATTTATTGATGTACAGTGAAAAGCCTCCTTCAGAATTCTGACCTCCAGCTTCATGCTTCCAACAAAAAAACAAGCATAACCCCCTCTAAAAGCTAAGTCTGTTTTCGTAACAAATTCCAAATATACCCCCATAACGACACCCTCCTCCCAGTCCCCCCAAACAAACACCACCAAGAAATGAGCAAGGGAGAGAGAGGACAAGAGTCTGAGTTGTCACTTTTGGCAAGAAGACTTACAGAGTGAATATACTTCACACCATCATATGGTAACGGGTTGATATGAAACCTTAATTCGTAGAAGAAAAAGTGTGATGTGAGATAATCCGGAATGAAGATGGTTTGTTGATATTTTCTTCCCCACCGAGTTTTAGGGAGCCAGGAGATGTGGTGAGAGGTGGGCGGGGTTGGGGGCAGAAGAGCCTTGGAGACCTTACAGTCAGGGCAGCTCACGGGTGTGGGGCCATGTGAGGCTGCCTTCAGATTTTTGGGATTCAGAAATGATGGGAGATACTTGGGTCTAAAAGGCCTTCACTCCTCTTTTGGTAAATCAAACGTAACTTATTGATGGAGAATAATAAGTAGCAAAACTAACCCAACAACAAATAGTAGAATTAAATAAGAAGGGAAATGTCCAGGTAGTCAGTATAGTTCTAAATTGTGAAAGCAAAGAGACAAAGGTCAACTTGGTCGATAAAGACCTGGAAATCTTTAGTATAGGTATTAACTCAAGTGTACTGTATGAAACAAAATTACTTTTCTCTTTTTACTTCATGAGAATATTTTCACAAGCCAGTCAGAAAATAACAACATTGGTAATGGAGACGGTCTTTGGGTCAAATGCAATTTTTTTTTTTTTTTTTTTTTTTTTTTTC